CTTCAATGTATGTACCTACTACTCCTGATCGAGGTCGCCACACTTCATCAGTTACCCGTCTCTCACAACCAAAGGTCAACTTTCTGGTTTTTTTTTGTTTCATAATTTTATTGTTTTCCTTTAGACCGTGGTAGACATTTTATTGGGAGTTATTGAAAAACAGCAGTGAGCTTCTGCGTTCACCTTAAAAACAAATTCCGCGATTAACTCGTGGGCTGCGGTGTCTAGATGTTTCCGGGTGGTTCAAATGTTCAAGGGTAGATGTCGCTTGACTCACCGCTCTGCGCCAGGTTGACTTGCAAGTGAAGAGCAGGTGTGCAAATCTCTATAAAGGCCCAGTTTTGGACGAACATTTGAAGAGGCACGATACTGCTGCGCGGTTGAGAAACCAAAGACAAAGAGTGGCTTACATGAGGGAGGGAGATAAGCGAGGCGTCAAAGGTCAGTGTAATTATAATGCACCCCGTGTGCTTATAGGTCTGGGACTCACATATTTCAATTCCTGATAAGTGCGACCCTTCAAGGGGCGGTGTTTTTCCGGCCAATTACGACCGCAGCACCCAGCATCTCTTACTGTGGCGCTGTGAAAATGCGACTAATTGTGGATTTACCTCTAGAGAACCATGATTGTCAACTCAAAACCCACAACCTCAGCCTTAGGCATAGCTTAAATTGTTTATCCAGTACATACGTTGTTTTCGAAACGTTATTTCTGGAGAAAAAAACGACCCCAAAACTCGATTAGGGTTATCATGGTCTTACTATGCGCCTGCGCCTGCGTTTTGTGTTCAGTGTGCTTATAGTATAGGATTTAGCACAGTGCTACTTCCAGTGCTGCTCGAAACACTTTCGAAATCAGTAAGTACACGGCGCTATTATTGAGCTGGTCTCTTTCCGTCTACCTTCTTGGATTAATACTGCTGACAGCATCCTTAACACATTTGTTTCCCTACTCTGCATGTTTTTTTTGGAGGCTGATGAATGCTAGCTGTAAGTGTGAGTGACATATTCGACAGGTTTTCTTTTCTGACCTCCTGTTTGCCCTAGATTTCCCAGTTTTTGTATTCTGTACGCCGTTCTTCTTGGAACCACCAGCATTATCCATGAACGCGGCTAGGCTTCTCGAAAATCGCCCACTACCAAGCCGTACAAAAACTAGGCAGTGTAGGCCGACTGCAGTGATAGGAAAATGGTGCATCTTGTCTACGGCTATGGAAGCGATTTGCAAGTACATCAAAATTGTGTATATCTGCGGCTGGTGGTCCTCCACCGGGTTCTTTGAGGCGATGTTTTTATTACCTACTAAACATAACAGCAAACAACATAACATAATTACTTTGATCTTATGAAGAATTTGTTGTCAGGCATCATCTCACCAGGAGAGTCCGCCTAATTACCATGGAGTTTTGAGTGGAGACCTGGATAGATCGATAAATAAGGCTTGATTATTACTAGAGTTATATTACCAAACTATAGATAGTCAGAAACCATGCAACGCTGCCTGGCTAAAGGCGTTCGGGAAGGTGTGGAGCCTGTGCGCGAAAGCACAAGCGTGGAATCGCATACGTTGAATCGCAGTCGGCGTCGGTTGCGTTTGGGTAGATTTGGACGCTTCGAGGACTCCGATGTCGACGTGTGAATTGCGAGTCTCGCTCATGCTTGTACAGGCTTCACCACCGAAGGCCTTCCACCCTTACTGCACCATTACAAACTTTACCTGCTCATAAGTTGCTTGTGAAACGCAGGTTGCAGTTTTGCTATCTATATTTGTAAATAACCTCATAGACTTTATTCGCGATTTTCCCTACCCAGTCTTTTCCTATTTAAAAGTGCATGGTAATTTGGCGGACTTCCCTTGTCAGCGCCTATAACCTATCTCTAACTATTAGGTTGTCCGGAAAGTTCTTAGCGTTTTGGGTGTTTAACTTTAAACGATCATAACTTTCTTAACACTCATCGGATTTAATCCAAATAAGCACCATTCGCGGGAGATCAGCCACATTGCTTTTTTTGCACAACTGTCTGTCCGCCGTCGAGAAATCCCATCACAAGAAATAAAAATGGAGTGCTGTCGAGGAATGCAAACGAGTTCTGATCGTAAGGTCTTTTTTGGCCTGGTCTTAATGATGAAGTATTTTTCTCAAGAAGTTCATGAAAATGTCTGAAAATCGGTGACAGTCAGATTGTGAAAGTTAAAATGATTGGTGGGTGAGCGGCTAGAACGTTGCAACTGCCAATGTTCGTACAATTTTGTTAATCTGGAATTAGGTGATTTTCCTTGTGAAATCGTGATTTCTATATGTGTGAGGCGGGGCGGTTGTATGCAAAAAGAATCGCTGACCACTTTCGTTTTTGACAACGTGTGCGCTGCACGACTGACCAATATTTCGAGGGTACAATTTTTGGTTCGGGATTTGTTTCATCAGTAGAGCTTTCTGCCGTGCTGATAGGCTTTGTCCTCGGTCGGTATGAAAAGTTATAGTGGATGCATACCAACAGCCGTGCAATGACCAAACCAAACCTGACAGAATGGTTTTTATTTTCACACGACGCGAGTCGGCTGATTGAATATTACCTCGGGTCGGGCTGTTCTCTCCTCACGAATCCAACCTCTAGTCGCGGAACGTCTCCTGCTTATCATAACATGAGATCCATTTGTAATTCATCAACATGGTGCAAATCGTTCAAAGGAACGGGTCGCATTTCTTTTGCGCAAAGCGCGGTGCTCCAGTGTGCGGCAGGAAGGAACTCGAGACCGGTGCGATTCCTTGCCGTCACTCGATTGTGGGGCACCAATTGTTCGAGTTTTTCACCTTCCGATTGCAGTTCGCAGACATCGAATGCAATGTGGATGTTGGCGCAAGCCTTTACTCGTTCTGCTATTCTGCTCGAACTGTTGGTCTTGGGATGGTGAAGGGGTGGTGTCTTTACGATCCAACCTTCAAAATGCCCCTAAAATCCTCGTCAGATATTGCTTTAGGAAATTCGAGTCCGCTGATGAGGCTATTTACTTCATAGGCTGAAATTACTACTCCAGAGCGAAATTTATTGAGCCATTGCCGCACAGTGCTTTCTTTAGCACTATTGGGCCCCACACCTGGTTAATTTGTTGAGCTGTTTCGATTGCGGTGATTGCCCCAATTTATAGCCGAAGAAAGAAAAAAATCGTCCGAAGTGCTCTTTTCACATGCTTGAAAAAATCTTGAAAAAAGAGGGTTTATCAAGCAATGGTGAAAGCTTGGCAATGTTGATCTCCATCAGATAGCGCAAGAAATTCTCTACAGGATGTGCTACTGAGAAGCAAGGCAGAATGAGTTTTTAATCAGCAGTGAATGTACAAAGATTAGGTGCACAAAACGCTAATGCAAGCTTTACCGGAACACTAATTATGTCCTTATATTGCTTCAACGTTTATGACTCTTACGCTCAGATTTCTGATACGTCAACCAGAGGCTCTGACTGGCGAGATTTTGCTAAGCCAGACAATATTTCACAGTATGTGGCAAAAAATAAATGCATCGAACAGCGCCGTGTTCAAGAAAAAGGCTTTGGCCGTGCTGGACAGTGTACTTGTTTGTAATCAGAAATGGTTTCTGTCCATTAGGTCCGATTTTACCTTCTCATGTTTCCAGGCAATTGTGCCACCCCGCCCCACCACATCGGCAGTAATGGTTCTGGAAATTTCTTGAAAGGAAATCGTACCGAAACCCCTTTTTGAGAACGTCGCACTGTCACCACTATTTTACACACCCGATGATGTTATCTGCATTCAATACTCAACAGGGATCATGAACCAACACGGCTCGGCAAGGTGACTTGTTGGGCTGAACGTTGGTGGTTAAGTGAATGCGAGAAAAACGCCTTCGACTTTCTGACAAGAACTTACGCAACAGGAAAATGCCAGAGTGTGTAACCACTGGAAGTCAAATCTAGGACGACTTGAACAAAAACGATGTTCGGCTAGTAGCAGGGAAACAGGGAAGATATTCGCGATCAGTAGAGTGTAATGTACGGCTTATATTTATCTAGAACTTCAAAATCTTCTCCTAGTATGGCTCAAGCACCGAAGAAAGACGATAGGGCTAGTGAGTAGTTTTGGAACGCGTGTAAACTGGGAGCAACTGCATGCCAACGTGGTGCGAATTTGAATTATACTTTTGCAAACATCACAACCACTTAATTGAATAGTCCATTCTGCAGAGGCACCATTTGAGGTGTAGCCCACCCGGCGCATGCTCCGCTCTTTCTAGATGAGCCACCTTCTTTCCAACTCTAACGCACTTTTCCTCGCTATCTGGTGCGCTCTGTATCGAAGTTGTTAATCTCTGCCTGCTACACCGCTAACTTTCAGCGCATGTCCCGCCCCTCGTGGGCGGGGCTCAGCATAGGTCAGGTGTGCTCTTTCTAATTTCCACGTTGCTCTCAGGTGGAACCGAATTTCCGGAGAGACAAACAAAACAGACGAACGTAGCAAATTATATTTAGTAGGAATATTGGTTTAGTGCCATGTTAAGACACTTGTAATGCTTGAAATAACATTCTTGTATTCCAGAACACTCCTACTAAGCAGCCGAACCTTATGACACAGTCGGTATATACTCAGTCGGCGAATTCTTGTGTGGCGCCAGTTTCACGTCTACAAAAGAAGCATTCTAATCAGCTTACGGCCAGTGTTCCTAACACTCCACTTTGTAAGTGTAAGAATATATTTCCTCTTGTTGAATATTGTTTATTTTTTCTGTGTAAGGAATGAGTCATGTTCTCCACTTCTGAGACTGTTGAATTGACTTGTCTTTGTCTCGTCCCCATTTTCTACTTTTCAGCCACTCAATCTGAAAAGCAGAAAAGGCAGCAGCCGAAGCCTAAACCGAGAGGGCTTCCCGCGGTGAGTGTCAGCATCTTACAAAGTCCGTCAGATTTTTGTCGTTCTCTGGAAACTATGTAGATTGTTTGTTTAAGGCGCCTGCTGGCAGCAAAAGACAGGCTTCAGCTGCAAAGCTCTCAAAGAGTGTGTCAGAGTTGGCAAGAAAGGAAAGCCTTCATTCAAATGACACTCACTCATCGATTGGAGCAAGAACTACTGAATCACCACTACTAGATGTCTCGTCCATTTCCGATGAAGTGCCACATGAAATGCCAGAATTGGAATCTTACAAAGAAGTCGGTATAGAGCAAGTGGAACTACAGGTGTGTAACGGGTGTCTTTTTTCATCCAGATGGTCACGTCGACGTGAAGAATGTGCATGTTTTACGGATTTATCGAATGATTGATGTGCATCAACGCGCTGACAAGGGAAGGATGATAGGCTGTATTGGTCGTTTGAGAATGAATGTATACCGTTTGATGCGTCCTCGGACGGCAGTTACGAATCCATATTCTAATCCATATCTGTTATGAGCTAGATTACGGAAGGGAATTCTCTCAACATGCATGTCTGATGCAAGCCTCACGCAACTCTCTCGATAGCTGATTACTTGAATAGACGCTGTCGAGTCTGCATAATTAAGGATTTGCACTTTTTTAGGGGGGGGGTCCTTTCTACCTTCTACATTAGCTCGGGAACACGCTTTCTGTCTTCAAAAATGGTGAAGTTGTTACAAAGGAGAACTGCTCCTAGGCAGTTGATGATTACTTTTCCGGATGCAGCACGCAAACGTTTTCCATTCAGGACCATTGTAGCTTACTAAACGCGTTAAAGCCTAATTGCAGGGGCCAGCCAGTGTGCAAGACAGTGTTCTTATCCTCCCAGTCGAATCCACTACCAGCTTGAGGATAGTAGGCTTGGTTGCCCTGGGCGAAAGCGTAAG